TGGTGATAGAGGGCATCCTTGTCTTGTGCCAGTTTTCAAGAAGAATATTTGCAGCTTTTGCCCATTCAGTATAATGTTGGCTGTGGGTCTCCTCCTGCCGGAATTCCAGAGGCCCGAGGCAAGAGCCAGTTGCTTCTTGCCAGTTCAACTCACTCATTCCCCTGGAGTTCTTGTGGGCCAGGAACCAGTCCTGGTGTGTGGTAGCCCCATTCAGGATTCCTCCTCCTTCAACCAAGCTTCTGTGTCTTCCCTCCATCCACTCTCATTGCCTTGTCTCTGAAGATCTGTTAGGAGTGTGCCAGTCATTGTTGTCTTTCGGTGGCAGCTTTTCCACCTTGCTGCATCTAGTCATCCATCTTGCCCAACCCCATTATTCTTTTTTTTTTTTTTTTGGAAACAGAGTCTCACTCTGTCACCCAGGCTGGAGTACAGTGGTGCAATCTGGGCTAACTGCAAGCTCCGCCTCCCAGGTTCACACCATTCTCCTCCCTCAGCCTCCCGAGTAGCTGGGACTACAGGCACCCACCACTACGCTGGGCTAATTTTTTGTATTTTTAGTAGAGACGGGGTTTCACCATGTTAACCAGGATGGTCTCAATCTCCTGACCTGTGATCCTCCCGCTCGGTGTCCCAAAGTGCTGGGATTACAGGCGTGAGCCACTGCGCCCAGCCTCCAACCCCATTGTTCTCGATAAGTTAGGACTTACTCCTGCCATTTTGTTATTTGTTTTCTGGTTGTTTTGTGATCCCTCTCTTCCTTCTTTTCTTCCTTCCTGTCTTCCTTTTAGTTAAGGCAATTTTCTGTGGTTGTATGTTTTAATTTCTTTTTATTATTATTATTTTGAGATGGAGTTTCACTGTGTCACCCAGGCTGGAGTGCAGTGGCGTGATCTCAGCTTACTGCAATCTCTGCCTTCCCGGGTTTGAGCAATTCTCCTGCCTTAGCCTCCTAAGTAGCTGGAATTATAAGCACCCGCCACCACGCGCAGCTAATTTTTGCATCTTTACTAGAGACAGGGTTTCACCATGTTGACTAGGCTGGTCTTGAACTCCTGACCTCAGGTGATCTGCCCACCTTGGCCTCCCAAAGTGCTGGGATCACAGGCCTGAGCCACCACGCCTGGTATGATTTCTTGCTGATAGTTTTTTGTTTATCTGTTGTATGTTTGTTTATTTGAAGTTACCGTGAGGCTTGCAAATAATATAATACATCATTTTAAGCTGATGATAACACTGATTGCATAAACAAGCAAATAAAGTACAAACAAAGAGAAAACTAATGTTCTTTTGCCAGTGAATTTTATACCTTCATATAATTTTTCATTGTTCATTAACATCCTTTTTTTCAGACTGAGAAACTCCCTTTAGTATTTCTTGTAGGACAGGTTTGGTATTGAAATTCCTCAGTTTCTGTTTGTGTGGGAAGGTCTTTATTTCTCCTTCGCTTTTGAAGGATATTTTCACCAGATATATTCTTCTAGGTTAAAAGTTGTTTGTTTGTTTGTTCCTTCACCCCTTTAAATATCTCATGTCACTCTCTCCTGGACTATAAGTTTTCTACTGAAAAGTCTACTGCCAGATGTATTGGAGCTCCTTTGTATGTTGTTTCTTTTCTCTTGCTACATTTAGGATTCTTTCTTTATCCTTGACCGTTGAGAGTTTGATTATTAAATGGTGGGAGGTAGTCTTCATTGGGTTAAATGTGCTTGGTGTTGCATAACCTTCTTTTTCTTGAATATTGATAGTTTTCTCTAGGTTTGGGAAATTCTCTGTTGTTATCCTTTTGAATAAACTTTATACCCTATCTGTCTCTCTGCCTCCTCTTTAAGGCCAATAACTCTTAGATTTACCCATTTGAGGCTATTTTCTAGATCTTGTAGATATGCTTCATTGTTTTTTGTTCATTTTTCTTTAGTCTCCTCTGATGGTACATTTTCAAATAACCTGTCTTCAAGCTCACTAATTCTTTCTTCTCCTTGATCAGTTCTGCTATTAAGAGACTCTTAATACATTCTTTAGTATGTCAATTGCATTTTTTGACTCCAGGATTTCTGCTTGATTCTTTTAAATTATTTCAATATCTTTATGAAATTTATCTGATGGGATTATCAGTTTCTTCTCCATATTATCTTGAGTTTCATGAATTTCCTCAAGACACCTATTTTGAATTCTCTGTCACATATATTCACATGTATCTGTCTCTCCAGGATTGGTCCCTTAGGACTTATTTAGTTCGTTTGGTGATGTCGTGTTTCCTGGATGGTCTTGGTGGTTGTGGACATTGATTCGTGTCTGGGCATTGAAAGTTAGGTATTTATTATAATCTTTGTAATCTAGCCTTGTTTGTACCCATCCTTCCTGGGAAGGCTTTCTAGGTATTCAAAGGGAGATAGATATTGTGATCTAAGTTCTTGGTCACTCCATCTGTATCTGCATTGGAAGGCATCCCAAACTGGGTAATGCTATGACTGTTGTAGTCTTGTAGACTCATAGAGCTACCGCCTTGGTGGTCTTCGATAAGATCTGGAAGAACTGTCTGGATTACCAGGCAGAGATTCTTGTTCTCTTCCCTTACTTTCTCCCAAACAGAATCTCTCTCTGTCTGTGCTAAGCTGTCTGGAAAGCTGGTGGAGAGGTGACACAACCACCCCTCTGGTTCCCTTCACGGGGACCACACTGGGTTAGACCTGAAGCCTGCATAGCAGTGAGTCTCACCCAAGATCCACAGTAACTACTGCCTGGCCTCCGCCTTTGTTTGCTCGAGGCTCTAAGGCTCCACATTCAGCAGGTGGCAAATCTCTTGTGTTCTTCCCTTCTGGGCTGCAAATTTCCCCCAGCCCTAGGCGTGTCCCAAGATGCTATCCAAGATCCAGGGCCTGGAGTCAGAATGTTTAGGAATCTGCCTGGAGCTCTATTCTACTTCAGCTGAGCTGGCACCCAAGCCATAAGACAAAATCCTTTCTACCCTTACCTCCCCTTTCCACAAGCAAAGGAGTCTGTCCCTGTGATCACTAGCATCCCAGGCCCACAGCAGGTATTGCCTGGCTATTGCTGATGTTCACTCAGGGTCCAAGGGCTCTTCAGTCAGCTTGTGGTAAATGCTACCAGGACTATGTCTCTTCTGGGCAGTGGGCTCCCCTCCAGCCCAGGGAAGGTCCAGAAATGCCATCCAAAAGCCAAGGCCTGGAATTAGGGTCCCCGAGGATCTGCTTGGTACCCTAGCCCACTGTGGCTGAGCTGGTACCTAAGCTGTATGTCAAAGTCCTCTTTACTATTTCCTCTTCTTTTCTCAAGCAGAAGTCTCTTCCCATAGGGTCCACAGCTGGGAATGTGCTGTGTCACACCTGAAGATAGCATGTCTCTGAGTCTCACTGAAGACCCACTGCAAGTACTGTCTGGGTACCACTGCTGATTATTCAGGGCCCAAAAGGGCTCTTTAGACAACAGATGTTGAATCCTGCCAGGATTGAGTCATTTCCTTCAGGAGAACGAGTTTCCTCTGGCCCAGGGTATGTCTGGAAATGTCATCCAGGAGCTAGGACCTGAAACAGGGGCCTCAGGACTCTGCCTGGTGCCCTATCCTACTGTGGCTGAGGTGATATTCAAGCTGCAAGACAAAGTCTTCTTTACTCTTCTCTCTCCTCTCCTCACGCAAAAGGAAAGAGTCTGTCCTGGAGCTGTGAGCTGTGCTGCCTGGGATTTGCGAAGGTGTGACAGAGGCAATCTTCTGGCCACCCTGGCTGTTGTCTCACTAGGTCATGTGCCCCCCAAGTCCACTGGCTTTCAGCCCAGCACAGGACTTGGAGTCTTGGTGGCCTAGATTGCCTTTCAGGTTTATTTAGGCCCCCAGAACTCTTTAGTCCACAGTGGCAAAGCTTGTCGGAACTCGGGTTCCGCCTGCTGGGATAGGTGATTTCCCTCTGGCTGTGGCTGGTGTAAATGCTCCCTCTGTGGGTGCCAGCTGAGTTCTGCCTGATGTTTCTTTTCACTGTGACAGGGCAGCACTGAGTTCCAATGCAGTCCCACAATCACTGTACTCTGTCCTGCAAGCACACAGATTCTCTCTCCCTGCCACGTGGCTGCTGCCAGGGGATGAGTGAGGGTTAGCATTGGCAGTTAGAGACTGTCTTTCCTAATCTTTCAGTGATATGAAGTTAAAATCTGGTACAGTGATTGCTTACCTGATTTTTGGTTCTCATGAAGGTGATTTTATTGCAGATAGTTTTTGAATTTGGAGTTCCTTCAGAGAGGACGATTAGTGGAGGCTTCTATTCAACCATCTTGCTTTGCCTCCAGTCACATTTGGCATTGTTAAACAACCTCGAAACAGTAGTATACTTATCAGTGTGTTTAATTTGAGAATAAAAAGTAGAGCTAACTAAGCTATATAATTCTTTAAAAGGGTACCGTATTCCAGGATCCTTGATCATGTTTCCCAACACAGTTGTTTGCCAACCTTCTGCCTTATACCTGGAAATTTCAACTGTTGACACCAGGGAATCTATTTATGTGGCATATGTTTTACTTAGAAGGTACTGCAGGGTTATGTGGTTTTACATTATATTAGGAAACTTGAGACATTCCAGGTCAGAATTATTCCTACTGCAAGTGCCTTTCCCTTTGGTGTTTGTCACTAAAATGTTTGTCTGTCATCATGTGAAATATTCAAAAGAATGACAAAGAAAGGAGTCTTAACAAAAAGTGTTGTAACTAATACTTGAGACTAATCACAGTACAGAACACATTACTACGGCAACTAACCTAAATGCTGCTTGCAATATAATAGTCAAGACATTAAGAGAATTTAGCCCTAAATGGTCTTACTAACTGGTTTCTACAGTAATGGCCCTGTGAATGCCATCAAATTAGTAATGGTGATAACAATAATGTGTTTTCCTTTTGGTATGGTACGCCCTTAACAAATTGATTTTAAGTCAAAACTTGATACCTCTTTTGAGACAGGTCATGCACTTGTAACGACTCCCATTTTTTCTCTATAGTTAATCAGCTGTGTTCAGCGAATACTTATGAACAGAAGGCTCCAGCAGCAGTACAATCAGCAGCAACAGCAACAAATGACTTATCAACAAGCAACACTGGGTCACCTCATGATGCCAAAGCCTCCAAATTTGATCATGAATCCTTCTAACTACCAGCAGATTGATATGAGAGGAATGTACCAGCCAGTGGCTGGTGGTATGCAGCCACCACCATTACAGCGTGCACCACCCCCGATGAGAAGCAAAAATCCAGGACCTTCCCAAGGGAAATCAATGTGATTTTGCACTAAAAGCTTAATGGATTGTTAAAATCATAGAAAGATCTTTTATTTTTTTAGGAATCAATGACTTAACAGAACTCAACTGTATAAATAGTTTGGTCCCCTTAAATGCCAATCTTCCATATTAGTTTTACTTTTTTTTAAAAAATAGGGCATACCATTTCTTCCTGACATTTGTCAGTGATGTTGCCTAGAATCTTCTTACACACATTGAGTACAGAAGATATTTCAAATTGTTTTCAGTGAAAACAAGTCCTTCCATAATAGTAACAGCTCCACAGATTTCCTCTCTAAATTTTTATGCCTGCTTTTAGCAACCATAAAATTGTCATAAAGTTAATAAATTTAGGAAAGAATAAAGATTTATATATTCATTCTTTACATAGAAAAACACACAGCTGAGTTCTTAGAGTTGATTCCTCAAGTTATGAAATACTTTTGTACTTAATCCATTTCTTGATTCAAGTGATTGAAATGGTTTTAATGTTCTTTTGACTGAAGTCTGAAACTGGGCTCCTGCTTTTTATTGTCTCTGTGACTGAAAGTTAGAAACTGAGGGTTATCTTTGACACAGAATTGTGTGCAATATTCTTAAATACTACTGCTCTAAAAGTTGGAGGAGTCTTACAGTTATCTTAGCATTGTATAAACAGCCTTAAGTATAGCCTAAGAAGAGAATTCCTTTTTCTTCTTTAGTCCTTCTGCCATTTTTTATTTTCAGTTATATGTGCTGAAATAATTACTGGTAAAATTTCAGGGTTGTGGATTATCTTCCACACATGAATTTTCTCTCTCCTGGCACGAATATAAAGCACATCTCTTAACTGCATGGTGCCAGTGCTAGTGCTTCATCCTGTTGCTGGCAGTGGGATGTGGACTTAGAAAATCAAGTTCTAGCATTTTAGGAGGTTAACACTGAAGTTGTGGTTGTTAGGTTCACACCCTGTTTTATAAACAACATCAAAATGGCAGAACCATTGCTGACTTTAAGTTCACATGAGGAATGTGCTTTAACAATTCCCAGTACTATCAGTATTGCGAAATAATTCCTCTGAAAGATAAGAATCACTGGCTTCTATGCGCTTCTTTTCTCTCATCATGTTCTTTTACCCCAGTTTCCTTACATTTTTTAAAATTGTTTCAGAGTTGTTTTTTCTTTAGATTGTGAGGCAATTATTAAATCAAAATTAATTCATCCAATACCCCTTTACTAGAAGTTTTACTAGAAAATGTATTACATTTTATTTTTTCTTAATCCAGTTCTGTAAAAATGACCTATAATTTTATTCATGTACAATTTTGATTACTTGAATTCTTAAAGAAAACATTGTTTTTGACTATGGGAGTCAACTCAACATGGCAAAACCATTTTGAGATGATGATATGACAGGTAGTGAAACAGCTTAAGAATTCCAGGAAAAAAAAAAAAAGAAAACTGGGTATAGGCTTTGCTTTAGGTATCACTGGATTAGAATAAGTTTAACATTAGCTAAAACTGCTTTGAGTTGTTTGGATGATTAAGAGATTGCCATTTTTATCTTGGAAGAACTAGTGGTAAAACATCCAAGAGCACTAGGATTGTGATACAGAATTTGTGAGGTTTGGTGGATCCACGCCCCTCCCTCCCACCTTCCCATGATGAAATATCACTAATAAATTCTGTATATTTAGATATTATGCTAGCCATGTAATCAGATTTATTTAATTGGGTGGGGCAGGTGTGTATTTACTTTAGAAATAATGAAAAAGACAAGATTTATGAGAAATATTTGAAGGCAGTACACTCTGGCCAACTGTTATCAGTTGGTATTTCTACAAGTTCAGAATATTTTAAACCTGATTTACTAGACCTGGGAATTTTCAACACGGTCTAATTATTTACTCAAAGACATAGATGTGAAAATTTTAGGCAACCTTCTAAACCTTTTTCACCATGGATGAAACTATAACTTAAAGAATAATACTTAGAAGGATTAATTGGAAATCAGAGTTTGAAATAAAACTTGGACCACTTTGTATACACTCTTCTCACTTGACATTTTAGCTACATAATACGTACTTTGAGTATAACATCAAGCTTTAACAAATATTTAAAGACAAAAAAATCACGTCAATAAAATACTAAAAGGCTCATTTTTATATTTGTTTTAGATGTTTTAAATAGTTGCAATGATTAAAAATGATGATTTAAAATGTTGCTTGTAATACAGTTTTGCCTGCTAAATTCTCCACATTTTGTAACCTGTTTTATTTCTTTGGGTGTAAAGCGTTTTTGCTTAGTATTGTGATATTGTATATGTTTTGTCCCAGTTGTATAGTAATGTTTCAGTCCATCATCCAGCTTTGGCTGCTGAAATCATACAGCTGTGAAGACTTGCCTTTGTTTCTGTTAGACTGCTTTTCAGTTCTGTATTGAGTATCTTAAGTACTGTAGAAAAGATGTCACTTCTTCCTTTAAGGCTGTTTTGTAATATATATAAGGACTGGAATTGTGTTTTTAAAGAAAAGCATTCAAGTATGACAATATACTATCTGTGTTTTCACCATTCAAAGTGCTGTTTAGTAGTTGAAACTTAAACTATTTAATGTCATTTAATAAAGTGACCAAAATGTGTTGTGCTCTTTATTGTATTTTCACAGCTTTGAAAATATGTGCACATGTTTCATAGAAAATGTATAGCTTTTGTTATCCTATCTAATGGTGGTTCTTTTGCACATTTAGTTATTTAATATTGAGAGGTCACGAAGTTTGGTTATTGAATCTGTTATACTAAATTCTGTAAAGGGAGATCTCTAATCTCAAAGAGAATTTACATACCAGGAAGCCCATGTGTGTTTGTGTTAGTTTTGGATGTCTTTGTGTAATCCAGCCCCATTTCCTGTTTCCCAACAACTGTAACACTCACTTTAAGTCAAGCAGGGCTACCAACCCACACTTGATAGAAAAGCTGCTTACCATGCGGAAACTATAGCAGGTAGGTGGAAACCTTATTATCTGGCCTCCAAAGAAGCTGAATATTTTGTAGCCTTCCCTTAGCTATGTTCATTTTCCCTCCATTATCATAAAATCAGATCCATATTTATGTGCCCCAAACAAAACTTCTTAAGAGCAGTTACATATCTGTCCCAGTAGCCCTTGTTTCCTTTGAGGGTAACATGTTGTGAGGCTATAGAGACTTATTCAACAGTAAAACAGGTCAATCCTTTTACATGTCTATTATACTAAAAATTATGTTCAGAGTATTACTACTTTATTTCACCAGACTCAGTCTCAAGTGACTTGGCTATCTCCAAATCAAATCTATCCTTAGAGAATAAACATTTTTCTACCGTTAATTTTTTTCAAGTCTATAATCTGAGCCAGTCCCCACGGAGTGACCAAGTTTCAGAAATGCTTTCATCTTCGCAACATTTTATATATACTATTATATGGGGTGAATAAAGTTTTAAATCCGAAATATATACTGTGTCAAAGCTCAATATGTGCCAGGTAACTAAACTGTTCACATCAGTAGCATTGGATGTAATAACAGGATAGTGGCTCACCCCCAAGAGCTGCCATAAAATTCCATTATAATAGATACTACCACCCTCTCTTTGGAACAACCTTCCTGATAACCATTGTGCCAGTGAACTAAGGGAATCATCCTTCCTCCTTGCTTTCTAGGGATCAGTCTTTTTGATAGTGACTGCTGCACAGACCTTCACCAAGAAAGACAGCATATAAATTGAGGCCATTAGGCCGGGCGCGGTGGCTCACGCCTGTAATCCCAGCACTTTGGGAGGCCGAGGCGGGCGGATCACAAGGTCAGGAGATCGAGACCACGGTGAAACCCCGTCTCTACTAAAAATACAAAAAATTAGCCGGGCGCGGTAGTGGGCGCCTGTAGTCCCAGCTACTCGGGAGGCTGAGGCAGGAGAATGGCGTGAACCCGGGAGGCGAAGCTTGCAGTGAGCCGAGGTCGCGCCACTGCACTCCAGCCTGGGGGACACAGCGAGACTCCGTCTCCAAAAAAAAAAAATAAATAAATAAATTGAGGCCATTAGTAAAGATAATAAGGATACAACTATAATTAAAAGAATGAAGGAGTGAGGCAAATCCTAAAATACTGCAAGTAGGCCCTCTTTAATATAACGTATCACAAGCAGTCTCTACCCAGCAACACTCCCCTACATTAAGTTCCTGAACATTCCACCCTTTTCTGATAGAAACATGTAAGGGATAGGGGAGCTTGGCTATAATCTTCAGCTTTGCAAATCAGATGACTACTAAGAGACTTTCCTATTAAGTATACCCAGGTCCATCCCTATGCTCCTCGTGTCATATATGTGTTGTTTTTCAAGAAAGGTGAAGAAAGATGGCTTATCAGATGCAAGGATGGAATTTGTTTTAGTTATATGTGGAGAAAGTATAGTACTGAAAGAGAACAAAGAGAAGGATCAGGAAAGAGACTAAATTGGAGTGGATAAAGAGCCTTGAAATCCTGAATGAGTAATTCAGTATAGAGGATAACAAGGATTTGTGAGGCAGATGATAATGTTTCGCAAGTAAAGATGGCTGTTTGGGTGAGGGTAATTTGGTTTAGAATGCAAGGTGAAGAAAGATGGGAGACAGGAAGATAATTGGTCCAAGCATGAAGGACAGAAGGAAGAAAAAGTCATTAGAGGATGTATAGGATAGTGAACTTTTACAATGATACTTATAATAAAAACCTGTTATTTTACTTTCCCCCTAAGGAGGCTTTGTTTCAGAAGTTTGATTTTTACACACAAAATTCACTTACTCTAATTACTCTCAAACATAATAGTATGTTCGTTAGTGGCATTCCCATTCTTTCTCAATTTTTTTTACTCCTTTACATTTGCAGAAAGTGAGGTTGGTCCATTGAGTGTAATTCTACTTCTTCCCTCAAGCCAATTCTTTAAAAAGTGAAATCCAAATATTTCTGTTACATTTCTGAGACCCATTCATTCAAAGTGCTAGTATGTTTGTGGGTAATGTTATGCTTTCTTTAGTAGTTTCAACGTGCTTTGTAGTTACCATGTGTTAACCTATACACAACGTATCTGTGAGAGAAGTGAGAATAATTCCATTTTTCTTATGACAAGCTATAAGTGAAACCAAAATCAAATCTGTTACCCTTAAGGAGGCAGAAGACATATTTTAGTTAGTTAAATTCTCCAGGTCTTTCATATCTAACTTGAGAAATTGGGACAATAATAATACCTTGCCTGCTAGAGGGCAGGGGACTAGACCAGGTGATTTCCTAAGTCCTGTTCAGCTCCCTGAGTTAAACTTTCAGCAAAGCACAGTCTAAAGCCAAAAGGCAATGTGTTTGTCTAAGGTTACAGGGTACATTGGTAAACAGTACTAGAAATTCCTTCCCTTTGGCTAACCCTCTCCCCTACTAAGCTATACCTTTTCTTTCCCTCTGTGTAGAAAAATGAGAGGTCTGACAGACATTTTAATGACAAAGCAGGTAAGTTAAGTTGTAATTGGCTCTAATTACAACTTCCACTAGCTGTAACCTTTATCTTTTGCCCAGAGGCTCTCCCAGAGCTTCCTACTGCCTTTGAAACTCATTGCAAAAAATGAAAAAACATGTTTAAGGATCTGATTCTTGTATCTTGGTTGGCTGATCGGGCTACAAACATGACGAAACATCAAGGAAAATATAGATCAGCTTTGTGAAGCCCACTTTTAAGCAAATAATTGGTGATTTACCGCCCTCTTGTTCATAACTGTAAAGCCAAATTAGACCAATGTTTAAATTGTCTGGTCTGGAAAAAGTTTATAGTGAGTTACAGGCAATATTTGTTTATGTTGACTCCTATGTAACTACGTGGTACACCTTTTTTGAGATGTAGGTTTTATAGTCAAATTGTGTGACAAAAACGAAGAAAACTAATAGACAAGTTTTATTTTTTTCTGTAGCTGCTTGTCCCCACATGCCAATAACAAAGCAGGTAGACACACTAGCCTATTGAATACATTCAATGAAAACAAAACCAAACTTAAGAAAAGGTGGGAGGGGGACGTGATTTACAACCATTTTAGGTCTTATTAGTTTATCCCCAACTCTTAGTAAGTTTTCAACAATACAGCATGGAGAGGTTGGGCTTCAAAGGCTTTAGCAATGCAGGCTGGCTTGGATCTAATTATCCTTCTTAAGAAAGTAAACCTTTTATTCTATTGACAACTTTTCCACCCTCTCTTCCCACGTCTTGCACACCCTATCCCTAAATATGCTAAGCTCAAACGAAGTGCCTGCCTGCGATTTTTTCCCCCTTTACTTCTCCAAAGGATCTTTCCCCAATTCTAGCCCCGTGCCACCCCTGCCCCCCACCCCCCTACACACACCTTATGCCTAAGTGTGTGAGGTTGGGAGGACTTGTAGAACCTTAGAATGCCAGAGATGGTAGGGATCTTAGAGACCATGTAGCCCAGCCCCCTACCTTTACAATCAGGAAGACAAAGGCCCAGGGAGGGGAAAAGGTGCCCCAGGGCACTCATGTCTTCTAGCTTTTATTCCAGTTCTCATTCCACTCCATTCAGATGCCTCTTATTATATTTAAATTCTAATTCATTTTCTTCAATCCGCCAGACCACATTAAGCAAATTTTCAGAATAATGGATACTGAATGAACTAAGCTTTAAAATGAGAACTCTTTGTGAGAAGTAGAATATGTAAACCAAAATGAAAGGGAAACATTCTTGTGATAACTGTAAAACAGGAAGCCCCCTGACACTTCCCCTAAACCTTTAATTTGGCATCCAGAATATTGGCTTCAGGATTTTCTTTCAGAGGGATATTTAATTTCTTTAAATGGTTCTTTCACCACACTCAGCATGGTTTAGGCCAATAAGATCTAGAAGCTCTGTTCTACTTTCTGGATCTCAGTATCCAGTGACAAGGATGGAATCATTCAGCCTTCCTTAAACCAGGCAAGTTTATGCACCGAGTACTTTAAAATCCTCTATTCCAAATGAGAAATGATGATATATTCACAAGAAAACAAAATAGAAAGCTCTGTGTTAGTATAGTGATCTCTGTCAGAATAAGGGTGACTGTTCTTGAGTTATAGAGATGGACCATGAACAGTTTACATATTTCTGAAGAAATGAAAGGCAAAATGATTTTTTTTTTTTGAGACAAGGTCTCACTGTGTGTCACTCAGGCTGGAATGCAATGGAATGATCTTGGCTCACTGCAGCCTCGACCTCCTGGGCTCAAGCAATCCTCCCACCTCAGCCTCCCAAGTAGTGCAACTACAAGAGTGCATCACCATGCCTGGCTAATTTTGTTTATTTTTTGTAGAGACGATGTCTCACTGTGTTGGCCAGGCTGATCTTGAACTCCTGGGCTCAAGTGATCCTCTAGCCTCAGCTTCCCAAAGTGCTGGGATTACAGAAGTTAGCCAGTATGTCCGGTCCTAAAATGATTTTAATATGCTAGCACTTGGGAGCGTGGCTCCATCTCTAAACTTGGACAAGTTACTTCACCTCTCTGAATCTTCTCCCACACAGTGATTAAGATTTATTGAACACCTATTGTGTTTCAGGCACTACGGCCAATCACTTTTCGTTACTCCTGTGTTACAGATGAGAAAATAG